TCTTGAGACCCGTGTAGACTTATTACTCTTAGATATGGTGGACTTTGATATCATTCTGGGTATGGATTGGCTATCACCCTATCACGCTATCTTGGACTTCCATGCCAAGACTGTGACTTTAGCTTTACCGGGTATGCCTTGCTTAGAGTGGAGAGGGACTCCCAGTCATTCTACCCGTAGTGTCATATCGTACGTGAAGGCTCGACGTATGGTCGAGAAGGGGTGCCTGGCCTATTTGGCCCATATGTGTGATTCCAATGCTGAGGTCCCTTCCATAGACTCTGTGCCTACTGTCCAGGAGTTTTCCGATGTCTTTCCTTCAGACCTGCCGGGTATGCCACCCGACAGGGATATAGATTTCTATATTGACCTGGTTCCGGGCACTCAGCCCATTTCTATTCCGCCGTACAGAATGGCCCCGCCGGAGTTGAAGGAGTTAAAAGAACAGTTGCAAGATTTGCTGGAGAAGGGTTTCATTAGACCCAGTGTGTCTCCTTGGGGTGCGCCAGTGTTATTTGTCAAGAAGAAGGATGGGTCAATGAGGATGTGTATTGATTACCGGCAATTGAACAAGGTAACGGTCAAGAATAAGTACCCACTGCCGAGAATTGATGATTTGTTCGACCAGCTTCAGGGTGCCAGGGTATTCTCCAAGATTGACTTGCGATCTGGCTACCATCAGTTGAGGATTAGGGCATCCGATGTCCCTAAGACAGCCTTCCGCACTCGGTATGGGCATTACGAGTTCCTGGTTATGTCATTTGGATTGACCAATGCCCCAGCAGCATTTATGGAGTTGAANTGAAATTATACGAAATGACTTGATTCCTTGGAGCGTTGGCTCAAAATAGTAGAGCGGATCATAAGATAAGAAAAGTAAGAAAGAGAAAGCGTTTTTGGTTGTTCCCTTGCCGGGATGTTTGTCAAATATTTACTTATTTTTATGCTCCTTAATTGTGTCTGTTGTTTGGGGAGTCGGACTGTTAAATGGTATTGAGGATCGGGTTGCACGCCGCAACAGTAAAAGGTGAGGATCGGGTTGCGCGCCGCAACAATTATACATGATAAATGATATGGGTCGGGTTGCACGCCGCAACAGTGGTATTTGTGGAGCGGGTTGCACGCCGCAACAATAGTAATTATGGAGCGGGTTGCACGCCGCAACAGTTATTGAGGCTATGTGTTTGTAATTGAGTATTGATTCTTTGTTCATTGTGAACCTAAGCTGTTTAGTTGTTACTCTGGATTGCTGTTAATATTGTATCTCCCCACAGCATGTTTTCCCCCTCCCATGTTACTAGTTGTTTGGTATTTTGTTTCCGTTGTATATTTATAACTGCACAGGTTTATGTGATGTCCAGTCTATCCTCGTCACTACTTCGCCTGGGTTAGGCTAGACACTTACCAGCACATGGGGTCGGTTGTGCTGATGCTACACTTCTGTGCATTTTTGCACAGGTCCAGGTTTTGAGGAGCAGCAGCAGCAGTAGTTCGGGAGCAGACTTTCCTATTCACGAGACTGAGGTAGCATTGCAGGCGTCCGCAGGCCCGGCGTCTCTTCTTTATGTTTTCCTTTTGACTGTTGCCTCATTGTTTTCGAGACAGATAGCTGTTATAATTCTTTCAGACCTTTGTATTTAGTTTATTCTTAGTGGTTCGTGAGTAATGTGACACCAAATCTTGGGTAGAGGCTATTGTTGACTATTCCGCGTTTTGATTCAGACTTATAAATTAGACTTCCGCTATTATTATTATTAAATTCCATATTTCTTATTGATGCTATAGATTGTCAACGGATTTATTTATTAATGAAAGGTAAATAAGTTGGCTTGCCTAGCTACTACGAGTAGGCGCCATCATGATCCCGATGGTGGGAAATCCGGGTCGTGACATAAGCGAAAAAGGAGGTGTGACAGCTCTGGCGACTCCGCTGGGGAAAAGAACCCAGCCGGGGGTATTGTGTTAGGAAAAATCTCTCATTTGTTCTTTCTCGTCGTGCGGTTTGGTTTCTAAATGCTGATTGAATTTCTACTCTGTTCTTTCGCAGATGGCGAGAACACGCGCTTCCTCATCTACCGATAAGCAGTCCGAGCCCCAGACAGCTCCCGCTAGGGGCAGAGGATGTGGCCATGCTAGGGGCCGAGGTAGGGGCAGGGCTCAACCCCAAGAAGCAGCACCAGTGGCGGAGCCCCAAGTTGACCTTGAGGAGGAGGTTCCGGCCCCAGCTGCAGCGGTTCCGGTGGGCCCAGCTCAGGTCCCAGAGGGGTTTATTGCTACCCCAGTTCTTTAGGACGCTTTGGTCCGGTTGGTGGGCTTCATGGAGAGTGTCACCCGAGCAGGATTGCTTCCTGTAGCACCAGCCACTTCCCAGGCGGGAGGAGGAGCCCAGACTCCTGCTGCACGTACTCCAGAGCAGGTAGCTCCCCGGACTCAGATTCCACCGGGTTAGCCAGCTGCGGCAGTTCAGCCAGGGGTAGTTGCATAGGCCGGTGATGGAGCGGCTATGTCCGCAGATGCTTTGTGGAGGCTGGACAGGTTCACCAAGCTCTTCACTGCTACATTCAGCTGAGCTTCTTCGGAGGACCCCCAGGATTTCTTATATAGCTGCCACGAGGTTCTTTGGAACATGGGCATTGTGGAGTCCAATGAAGTTGATTTTGCGGCTTTTCATCTATCTGGATCCGCCAAGACTTGGTGGAGGGATTTTTATTTAGCCAGACCAGCAGGGTCGCCGTCCTTGACCTGGGATCAGTTTTCAGAGTTGTTCCTGGAGAAGTTTCTCCCCGTTACTCAGAGGGATGCTTATCGAAGGTAGTTTGAGCGCCTCCAGTAGGGGTCTATGACGGTCACTCAGTATGAGACCCGTTTATCGATCTAGCTCGCCATGCCCTCGTCATACTCCCCACTGAGAGGGAGAGGGTGAGGGTGAGGAGATTTATTGATGGTTTGATCCAGCCTATTCGTCTTCAGATGGCCAGAGAGGCGGGGAGTGATATTACTTTTCAGGAGGCGGCCAATGTGGCCCGGTGGATCGAGATGGTTCTGCCACAGTGGGGTGGTCATAGAACAGACAAGAGGCCCCGTCACACAGGTCGGTTCAGTGGTGCCTCATCTAGGGGCAGGGATTCTTATGATAGGGGTCAGCCTTCCAGGCCTTTCCAGTCAGCCCTCCAGGTTTCTCAGGGTGCCCAGGTGATCATGTTTCCCGTGGGCATTATTCAGATCAGCAGTCACTCAGTGCACCGCCAGCTCCCATCAGTGCACCGCCACTTTAGAGTTTTCGTGGAGGTCATTCGGGTCGCCAGGGCCGGCCACAACGTTCGGAGGGATGTTATGAGTGTGGTGAGTATGGTCACATCAGGAGAGCTTGCCCGAGATTGAGGGATACCCAGTCTCAGCAGCAGGGTCCCCGTCCTATGATTCAGGCACCAGATGCCCCACAGCCAGCCAGGGGTGGAGGCAGAGGTCATAGAGGTAGAGGTAGAGGCCATATAGGTGAAGCTCAGACCGCCAGGGGCGGAGGTCAGCTAGCAGCAGATCGACCTAGGGATACAGCTCAGGGTGGTGGGGCCCAACCCCGTTGTTATGCTCTCCGGCTAGACCAGAGGCAGAGGCCTCAGATGCGGTGATCACAGGTACGGTTCTGGTTTGTGATCGTGGTGCTTTGGTACTATTTGATCCAGGGTCTACGTATTCATATGTTTCCTCTTATTTCGCACCATGCTTGGTTATGCCTAGTGATGCTTTGGGTATTCCTGTATATGTGTCTACATCGGTGGGTGACTCTATCGTGGTCGACCGAGTCCATCGTTCGTGTGTCATAGTGATTGAGGGTCTTGAGACCCGTGTAGACTTATTACTCTTAGATATGGTGGACTTTGATATCATTCTGGGTATGGATTGGCTATCACCCTATCACGCTATCTTGGACTGCCATGCCAAGAATGTGACTTTAGCTTTACCG